ATTCCTATGCAGCCCAAACCTAGGGATCCATTTTTTATTATTTTATTTTTTGTTTCTTGAGACAGGGTCTCACTATATAGTTGAGACTGACCTGGAATTCACTATGTAGCCTAGACTGGTGTCCAACTCACAGCAATCCTCCTGCCTCAGCCTCCCAAGTGCTGGGATTACAGGCGTGTGCCACCACACCCGGCTAGGAGACGTTTTTTTTTTTTTGAGGATCGCTTTTTTAATTAGAACTTTCCCCAGGGGAGGACCCTTACCATATTGGTCAGGCAGTGAGGTAGATGAGTTTGTGGTTCATGGAGGGCACAGACAGGGCATGCCTTACAGATATGGGTTACAATGTTATGGACTCCAGGCACTATAAACAGTTTATGTGCCATAATGGTGGTGGTGTCCCGCCCTAGATAGAAGGCATCACACAGGTACCTAATGGCCTTCCACTGCAGTTGTTACGAGTTGGGGTCCCCTATACACGTATATACATCAGCACTTTTGAATGCCTCCTGCATTGCAACCCTTTGAAACTGTTCTGCAGAGTACCCTGGCTCTAAGTCAAGATCTTGGAATGGGACCGTGGGACAAGCTATTGTTGGGCTGGGATTATTTTTGAGGGCAACATGTTTGGCAGCTGAGTCTGCCTTAGAATTATCATGAGAGGCAGGGTCCAAGAGGCTTGATGTCCCCAGCAGTGGACAAGTACTACCTCGCTTGGGAGATTTAGTGCTTCAAGGAGGTTGAGGATCTCCAGTCCATTTTTCTTGGTGACTGGCAGCTGATACTCAAAAGTCCCTTTTCTTTTCAGATGGCTGCACGCACACATGAGATCAGAAAGGAATACCTGGAGTCAGTTTATATTGACCCTCTTTACCCCGGGCTGAAGTTCCAGTGATAAAGGGCAAATAAATGTAACTCTCAACCTGTTAGATGTCAGATACACTGAGTTCGTGTTCTCCAAAATCAAAGAATGAATTCTAAGGAAAAACAGAGGTTAAAAGTAGGAAAAATTTATTGAGATAGCTCCTGAGAGATAGGAGGGGATCTGGAATCTTGGGTTGCCAAGGAGCCCCCTTCTCAAAGTAAGTTTTATACAGCAAAATCATAAGGTGGGTACAACATGGGTCAACACTATGATCAACCAATAAGATTACAAATAGAGCTGCTTAGGTAATGATCCAATGGGGAAGCAGGTCATGTAGCAAGTGCACAGGGGAAGAACAAAGACCCTTTTAGGAAGGGATGGACCAGGAGGTCTTAGTCACCCACCTGGGTGACTGATGTCTATCTAGACTTTATTGGACCAGGTAATACTGATTATCTTATCCCCTGGGGAGGTTATGTAGGCCTGGTCATTCTGTCTTTATCTCGAGGGCTGGCCTTCAACAGATGAGCTTCCAGCCACAGTTGTAATGTGTTCTCATCCTCTACACTGACTCCCTCGAGGGTTTAGCCCTGCATGACTGCCTTAAATATTTCTACCTAACTTAGCTGTCTGTAATACTAGGTGGGAATTGTTTTGCTTTGGTGACCTGGGTTGGGCTGACTGTGGCCTAACCTGCTCTCCTAATGCCATCCTGTTGGGCCAACAGGAAAAGATGGGCCACACAAACACGAACATGACCAATGTACAGAAGCCCTCCTGCAAAGACCAAAACGCTTCACCCCACAACCAGGTCAGCCTCCCGTGGGAGACTTTACCATGGCAGAAGCTCCAAATGGTGATCAACCTTCTGTCCCGTGCCCACAATAAGTGACCAAGGACACACAAAAAAGGGGAAAGATAAGAAGTACAAAGTCTCCCTAAATAGAGATTTCCCTTCTTTCCTGGCTGGGCTGGTGGTCTGGCTGGCTCTTGGCTGAACTTGCCAAGAATGATACAGGACATGATGTGATCCCGAGAGATAGATTCCAGACTCTTTTACACAAGGAACAATGCATTAAACATTGCACACAATGTTATGGAAAAAGCAGCCAAGTTTAACAAAGTTTAACTGGGGAAGGTGCACTCAGAGCGAGTGGATTCTGGTTGGTAGAAACAAAAAGGCGACAAAAATGGGGACAAAATTGGTGCCAGGTATGGGGAAAAAAGGAATGAAAGTAAATTAGGTTTTTGGATTAAAAAAAAAATAGTGGGCCCCACCTGGAACTTCAGAAAATTTCTGGATCTTTGTTATTTTTACTCTTGTTTCTTTTAGGATTGGCCTAGGGTTGCCCAAGTGCAGGTGAATGGAGGGAGAGGTGGTCCCACAGCCCCATTTGTGTTGTGTACACCAGAGTCGCGCCTTTCACTTGTGAGATGGGCCATTATCCATTATCTTCCTGTCTTCCTTATCCCTGGTAAGCCAAGATCAAGGCAGGACTTTCTATAGATTCACACACTCCATAGATTTCCACCCACCAAAACAAGTAAACACTCCCATGTTACAGTTGAGTGGGCCAAAAATAGTCCAGGTTCTTGTGTACAACAAGGAAATAATTGCCAAGCATATACCTTGTAGTAACTACTTTCATTAAGGATCCTGGGACGGAGCAGCCAGATCAGGCAGAAGGGGAAAGCGGACACACACACACACACACACACACACACACACACACACACACACTTCAGGGGAGGGGGGAGGAAGGGACAGGAACGAGACTTCATAATTCAGGCTTCTGTCAAACACCTCTCCTTCAAGGTACCTCCCACTGTCCCACTGATGTCAGCTATCTGTGAGACTTCCCTTTTTTTTTTTTGTACCAAGGCTCAAACTCAGGTCCTTGCATTTTCGAGGCAGGCACCAGAACCACTGAGCTAAATCCCCAGCCCAAAAAGACCTCCTAATTTTAAGCCTGGATAATCCTAGGGTGGTGTTGTGATTATGGCTGAATGGAGGGAAGAGAAGTGGCTCTCACAACTTCCCTGCTTTAAGATTCTGGACGCGTGGATAATCATTAGGGTGGTGTGGCATTTACAGTTGAAGGAGGGTGAGGGAGTGATACCAGACTGCTTGTGTACCTTTCTTTTGAGGACCCGCTCTCCATTTAACATTCTACCTACTGATTTCCTTCCTTTATGAATCTTATTGAGGCATCCTGAAAATTCCTTTTCTGTGTTGGAGTTTCCTACCAAATGGACTGAGCTCACGGCTGGCTCCTCAGATGAAGTCTCAAACCAAAGGAAGGGGTTAAGAGATTTCCAGGAGAGGTCCTGAGTAGGGGCGCTCATGGACCTTCCATCCACAGCTAATTATAGATAAGCGGAGTGCAGGAATTGTGCAGCAGCCACCTATCACAGCTGGCTCTGTGGATTTGAAATGACCAATCAGAACTCAGGACTCTAACCCAGTTCTACAGCATTCAGGGTTTAAAAGAAACTGGGATTTTAGAGAGAGAGAGAAAAAAAAAACTGCTTATTTTGCATCAGAATTGAGGAGTTTAGTCGGGATGGGCTGTGAGGAAATTCATTCTTGCTGCCTATTCTTATCAATGTAGCTGATCACCCAACTCTACCTCAGGACCTTCCCCTACTGGTAGCTGGTGGCCTGATTTCTAAAATAACTAAATAAACTATTTTCTACAATGTAAGTCAGTGAATTTGAAGCCTGTCCTGTGAGTAGGGTTTTTCCCATCTGTGCTTTGGGAAACTCCTCGGATCCTATCCAGTGACAAGGAGGGAAGAGAATTCTATGGATGAAAAAAAAAGTCCTAAATTATTTGAATAATTTTCTTCTGGTTGGAGGCTAACCAACGGGGAAATGGGGTGGTGTGTTAGTGTTAACATACCCATATTATGTCACCTGATCCTCATTAACAGTCTGGTGCAATACTGACCCATTTAATCCATGCAGAATTGGATAGAGAAGGCAAGTAGTTTCTTACCTAGTTACACCAAGTAGAGGGAGGGGCGGGGCCCACCCAGGACTTCTGACTTTAAAGCTTTTGCTATCTGCCAATGGTCAGAGGGAGTACAACTGAAAGTCTATATAAGTAAGGACAGTAGTTTGTCTCAGTGGGCAGTGTCTGGGACAACACTCAAAGCACTGTAGGGAGATGCAGGTACAGATGTGTGGCTTGGTTTTCTGTGGTACGGCCCCGCCAGCTTTCCCTCCTGACGGCTGTGCAAGGCATGGTGTGCTGTGGCTGGTAAAAAGAATTTACCAATACTCAAGGAATACACAGGAAAGTTAAAAGAGTGCAGTGATAGGCTGCAAGAGAGCAAGACAGAACTGTGCCATCAGGCGAAAGGCTAAGATTTTGATGCTTGATGTTTAACATGATGGGGTTTAGAAACCTCCTCCCAGGACCGCTTTTCATCAGGTTCTCTCTCTGGGTTCTCTTGTCCATCTAGGTTCAAAGGTTAGACAGGTGTTGCCTGAAGGCTAACTTAACATTTTTGTTCCACAGGGTCAAGGGTCCTTAGTGTTGCTATAAAGTCTTTCCCAGGAAAATTAACTGACAAATGTATGAAGGTGGACTGTTAGTGGTCAAGGGAGTCAGAATGACGGGTATATTTGTACTTGAAAGGGCCTTTTGTCTGATTTATCTTAGGACAAGGGAAGAAATGGTATTCCTTAACACATGAGGAGCAGGTCATCTAGTGAGGTGTGTGCAGTTTTTGTGCCTAGTTCACACTGTGGAAAGTTAATTTTCTATTACAGACTCACCACTCAGCTGCGATATGGCCTTTAAAGAAACAATGGTAAACCCTACCAAAACAAAACAAAAAAAACGGTAAAATAGCCATGACTCTCCACGCTGACCACTGCTGTTCCGAAGCCACAAGAGGCTGGCTTTCTGGGACAGCGGAGATCCCCGAGACTCTGTACTATAATTTGGAGCTAGCTCCTGACTTTGCACACGAGCATCTTCCCAAACAGAGAACCCATTTGATCTCAGGGACTTCCGGGACCCCGCCCCACGAGGAGCATGCGCTCTAAAGGCTGCCCGTCGTCCCTCAGGCCCCGCCCCTCGAGCCTTGGCTCCTCCCGGCGTCGCCGCTCTCCCCGCCCCGCGCACGCGCGGACGGGTTTTTCCCGTGGCGCTCTGGGGCGCGGGAGATTCGTAGACAATGGCTGGAGTTTGGTCTCCATACTGTGGTAAGGGATGCGCTTCTGTTTCCTGTGTGTGTGATCACAAGAAGAGGGGCGACTCCTCGCTGCTGGGCCGGCGGCTCTCGGAAGACTCAAGCCGCCACCAGCTGCTGCAGAAGTGGACGAGCATGTGGAGCTCGGCGAGTGGGGACGCGTCGGTGGTCGGGGCGGAGAAGGCGCCGAGCGAGGAGGAGGCGGCGGAGGTGGAAAACCCGCTGGTGTTCCTGTGTTCCGGATGCCGGCGGCCGCTGGGCGACTCGCTGAGCTGGGTGGCCGGCCAGGAGGACACCAACTGCATCCTGTTGCGCTGTCAGTTCCGGCAAGGCTGGTCGGGGCGGGGCTGGGGCAGCCTTCTTCCCAGCGGCGTTGTACCTGGGCGGTCTGGAGGGAAGGGGGATTCTCCTTGGGGTCACCCTGGAAAAAGTGGAGGAGGAAGGTCACCCCTGCACTTGGGCTCAGGAGTGACGATCGTTTTCTGAGATCCCCCCATCCGGGAAGAGAGAGCATCCCTTGAATCAGCGTCGTCGCTAGCATTCAGACTTTTGGGGTGTAGCCTGTCCAGTGCGAGTGACTCCCGGGGTGGGGGGTGGGGGTCCAGTGCGCTGTTCATTAGTCATATTCTTGGTGGTTTATTCAGGAAATTAAGCTTTTCAGCTACTGTTTCCCTAAGGGACTGTTAAGATTGGTTTATCTAAGTTTTTAAACCATAGCGTTAGCACAGTGCTGTGGGGGAAGAAAGAAGGAAATTTGAAAATACCAACATCCCCAAGGAATCAGAGAGGAAGGAGAATGTAGTAAAAGAGTTAAGGCAGGAGGAATTCTATGTATTCATCCTGACTTTACCAGTTACCTGTATTATTTACAGTATTTGTAGAATTTATTTGGGGATAAAGTGTTTCACATATTTTTCTGAATTGGCATAGAAATAGGTGTTCTCTTGGAACTTGTGGTAGGCAATATATATATATACACACACACACACACATATATGTGTGTGTGTGTGTGTGTGTGTGTGTGTGTGTATATGGCGGTACTGGGAATTGAACCTTTTTGCGCAGCCCTTTTTTCTTTTTGAGACAGGATCTCACTGAGACACTAATCTGCCCCGCCTGGGCTTGAATTTGGTGATCCTCCTGCCATAATATCAAGAATGCTAGAATTACAAGTGTGCACCACTGCACCTGGCAGTCGGAGTGAGATTTGTGGGGTAGGGTTGACATGATGTGTCAGTGGGGTAGATGTAAGGAAGCAAGATGAGGACCGAGGATGAAGGCTGGAGATGTAGCTCAGTGGTAGAGTACTTGCCTAGCATGCATGAGGTCCTGAGTTCAATCCCTAGCATTACCAGAAACAAAATAAAACAAAATCCATCTGGGCTTTACTGAGATAAGGTGTCCCGTAGAAGGAGATGTGTGGCCATTTGTATCTGACATCTTGTCTTTATTTTCCTCCTCTGGGTATATTTTCTGATCCTGGGGTCCAGCTGTGATCTGTTCAAGTCATGGTCAGAGTAGAGATATTTGGGATACTAGGAACTTCTCAGGCACTTTTAGAAAAACGACCACAGCATCTGCAATCTGGAGGTGAAAGCAATGGTTTTTAGAATCTTGATTTTTTTTTTCTTTCTTGGTTTTGATCCCAGCTTCATTATAGTGCAGATGTTCTTTGTATTTTGTGCCTTAAGATTCTAACTTGTCTAAGTTCCACTACGAATTGAATTTTCCTCTTTAGTTTTGCATGTTTTGTTAGTGTCGTTGGTATTCATGGAAGGGAAGGAAATAACTTGTGCTATTTTTTCCAGCATATCTCCTGTACATTTAGGCAGGGTCTTGCTATGTAGTTCAGACTGTCCTTGACCTCACTGTGTAGCCTCGGCTGGTCTGGAACTCGAGGTGATCCTCCTAGCTCAGCCTTCTGAGTGCTGGGATGACAGGTGTGTGCCACCACACCTAGCTTACATTTAGTTTTAAACCACCCTTTGTGTGCATGTGAGAGAGAATCACACACACACGCACACACACACACACAAAAATACTTTGGGTTTTTATTTTTTCTAGACCTCCAAGTGCTAAAATAAAAGTTGGAGTAGAAATTCTCGAAATCTCTGCATGTGTATGATAACAGACTGCATTTATAAAACATTGCTTCTCTTTCCAGGTATATCCTGTAACGTTTCTGTGGATAAAGAGCAGAAGCTGTCCAAATGGAAAAATGAAAATGGTTGGTGAGTAAGGCTGTATCCGTGAAAATATTACATTAGAGAGAGAAAAACAATTGAAAATAAACAAGAAAATATCTATATCAAAATCTCAAAGCTGTGGAGTGATGCTAGTGTTGTAAGGCACAGACTATTATTGCAAACAAACAGGGCTTCCTGTGATCAGAAGCAGCCAGCCCAACGGGCTGTGGCAATCCCAAGTCCTTTGTGGCCATTTGAAAGGGTAGAAAGGACAGGTACCTTGCTGTACATGTTGACCATTAGCTGCATATGGCATCATCAGTGAAATGAGTAGGAAGCTCTACCATATATAATTGTCTCCCCAAATCTGAAATGTGTCTTACTGAAGTAACTTTAGGTGGTTCACAAATAAACAAAAGTTAATGATTATATTTTGACATGCATTAGAAATGCTGGGTTCTCCTTTTTTTTTTTTGGTACAGGGGATTGAACTCAGAACCTAGCATTTGCGAGGCAGGCGGCAGAACCACTATGCTAAATCCCCTGGGTTCTCCATTTTAATAATGCTAGGGTAACCTATTCAAGTAAAGTAGTTTTCAACTTTAAAAAATTTACTCTGTTTAAGGCAAATTAAATTGGTAATGGTTTAGATAATATATAGGTGTGACAACACTTGTGCTGTTGGCATGCAGGTGATTAAAATATGGAAAACCTGACCTCAGATGACTTCTCATTTTATGGATGAGAAAACAAGGTCAGGGATCTTAGAACTTCATTAAGGTCCCAGGCCTAATTAGAGTAAGAGCTGGGGCAATGCTTTTACCTCTCTTGACTTTGGTATGTTCTTTCTCTCTATTCCTACCTCTGCTCATTTCGACATCTCTTCCATTTTTTGCCATTTACTGGGGACCCCTGAAATGTTACCGGAAACCTCTGCAGTAGGCACCAGTCTCCTGCCCAGTGTATGACACAGGTCCGAGGGAAAAAAAACTGAAGCACTGAACTAAGAGAGACAGAAAGTGGGGTGCAAGGATGACCAATGCTGGTGCAACTGACAAAGGTGCTGGCCAGTCCAAGCCACTGTTTTTTATTGGTCATCAATTGGGGTAAAGGTGGGCTACATGCAAGGGCAGAAGTCGGGCGGTTTCTAGTAATGTAAACAAGGCTGTAAAGGACGAGACAAAGCATTCTTGAATTAAGAACAGAATAGACAAAATATATGCTTGCCTTTTTTTTTTTTCTTTCTGTACCGGGGATCGAACTCGGGTCCTTGTGCTTGCGAGGTAGACAGCGGAACCACTGAGCTAAATCCCTAGCCGACAAAATATATGCTTGTAATTAGAACATTGTCCTAGTAAGAAGGTCTTAATTATGGGAATGGCATTTGGGTGCAAGTTACTCTGACCGCTGTACATAGGCTTCAGCTGGACTCACTTCTGTAAACAAGCCAATTGTGGGATTAACTCTTCACAGCCTGCATGGCTTATAGCCTGCTTTGGGGCCTAATCAATATTGCAGTCTCCTACACTGTTAGTCCATTTTTCATTACTATAACCATTTTCTCCATTTTTGCCAGCTAACTACATGATTGTTATACACTTACTACATGTTCATTAAATTGGCTTAAGATTGTTATTTAAATTTCTTTTAAAAGGAATCTATAATTACTATTATTATTTTTTGGGGGGGTACTAGGAATTGAACTCAGGCCCTTGTGCTTGTGAGGCAAGTGGCAGACCCAATGAGCCAAATCCCCAGCCCAGGAATCTATAATTACTAACATAAATATATCATTGACCATAACTTGAAAGTGACTGAAGATAATTACAATGAAACATATTTATTAGAGGTAGCTGAGATATTGCCTGGCTGGTTCTGGTTTGTTTTCTCATTGTTAAAAGTTTTGCAACTTTTAAGTGTCAAAGGGACTCTAATACCAACCTGAGATGTTCTTCTTTATCTGGATTGGTATAGAATTGAAAGGGAATTACCTTTCTCATTCTGTGATCCAAAGTTATTTAATGCTATATGGTCTAAACCCATTTTTCATTTATTTACTTTTTTTGCTTTTGTTTTTATGAGACAGTGTCTTGCTTTGTAGTTCCAGCTGGACTTGAACTCTCTATCAAGCCCAGACTGGCTTTGAACTCATCATGGTGATCCTCCTGCTTCAGCCTCCCAAGTGCTAGGATTAGAGGCATGCACCACCACACCCCCCTAAAGCCATCTTTTGTCTGCCTTTAACTGTGATGAGTTTTACTAGATCCATGTGCTCCACACTTCTGGATATTGCTTTAGGATGCTTGCAAAATTCAGTAGGTGGGCCTGTCCTGCTGAATGCCTGTCTGAGCTGTTTTGTGGATGGGCAGCAAAAGCGTTGTGGCCTTTAGGAATATGTTTTGGGGGTGGCAGTGCTGTTTCCTCTGTTCATTCTGATTGTGCCCTTTGTTAAGGATGTTCACGCCTTGTGTAAAATTGCCCGCTGATTTCTGGCACTGTTATCTCAACATTGTTTGCTCAACAATGAGGGTGAATTCTGGCCAACTCTGCCATCTGTGCAATTAGAAAGATGCTGCAGTGATGGCTGCTACCAATTCGTCATCATTCCCCAGGATTATTGAAGAAGTATAGATTGGTCCGTTTGTCCTTACTGTAATGAAGTACCTGAGGCGGGCTGCTTTATGCAGAAAAGAGGTTAATCAAGGCTGCTGGTTGTGGAGGCACAGGCCTAGAGACTACTGTATTTGGTGATTGTTGCCTTGTTGGTAAAAAGCCCAGGTGGCACACAGTGTCACAAGGTGGGAGGCAGGGAATTTGGGTCTATGTGTCTCCTAGTCTTTCCCTCTTCTTACAGAGTTTCCCAGATCACTCCTGAGGCCTCCACCCTCTTGACCTTGTCTAACCCTAACCACCTCCCAAAGGCCCTGCCTCTGAACACCACAGCAGGGCTGTTTCTGTCCTCTCAGTACCTCATAGCAGGGACTGTCTTAGCATGAGGTAGGGAGGACAAATCATATTCAAACCTTACCAAGGCAGGAATGAGTTTATGTGCACCCTTTGGTGCATTTAGAGCCATTTGATAATTCAGATTAAAACAGTCTTATCCACTGATCAGTGTTATTTTGAGAGCTCAGGCTTCTCTGAGTATTCTTTCATGGCTGCTGATAATTGCACTAAATATTGGTTCACAATCTTGATAATTGGGTGTGACAGCTTCCTAATTATCAGGTTTCCAATGTACCATGGAGATCTGTTGGTTTTGTAGGCGGGGATCCCTGTCTTACAACTTAGGGTTTATGAAGTAAGTAGGTAAACTTGGGGTTTACTAAGATGCTTTAGTGTTTCTTATATAAAAGCTTTAAAAAATTCCACAGACACATTTCTTGTCAGTGTCTTATTATCTGCTTAACTGTATCACCAGTGAGAACTTATAATTTATCAGGTGGTGTTCCATTTTGATTTTTATTCTGTCTGTTGCTGCGTGATAATAAACATCTCACAGTGTCCGTAGGTCAGCCATGATACGTATAATCCACAGTGTGCTCTTGGGTCTTGGGTAGCTCCCTTTTGCTCTGTAGCAGGAACAGATACTTTGTGATGACAGACAGCTCACGTACTGACAGAGCTCAGATACTCTTGGCACAGTGGGCTTTTGTGCTATCTACTTCACTTCTGTGCTCAAGACTAGATCTAAGTCTCCAGTGGTCATCAAGCTGCTGTGTGCCGGGCTGTCATTTTAGTATAATAAGTGGTTATAGAGTGGAAAATTTGAATGGGCCAATTTGATAAGGCTTTTGGGAGACAGTGGATTTTAGGCCAGGTTTAAAGACAACCTAAGCTGGGCATGGTCCCAGCACTCTGGAGACTGAGGCAGGTGAATTGCCAAAGTTCAGAGCCAGCCTGGGCTACATAGTGAGTTCAAAACCTGCCTGAACTACATGGTGAGACCCTGACTTAAATAAGAGCTGAGGTGGCGTGGAGGGAAAGTACATTCAGATATGTGGACCCTGAGGTGAGAAGTGTCTAGAAGGAAGGAACAGTTAATGTGGAGAAGTAACGACAGATCATTAAATCTTTTTTTTTTTTTGGTGGTACTTGGGGTGGAAGCCAGGGCCTTTGCCCTGAGTGCTACCTCCCATCTGTTTTTCTTTTCTGTTCTTTTCCTTCTTTCTCACCCTCCCTCCCCTTTCTTTATTTTTTAAAAAGTTTTGAGACAAAGGCTTGCTAAATTGCCCCACTGGGGCCTCCCAGCTGTGGGCTACCCTGCCTGGCTTATTAAGTAAAATTCCTGTAAATCACCTGTGTAGGACATATCTGTAGTTGACGAAAGTACTTGTGTCAAAGTACACTTTTAAAAAGCAGTTCTAACAAATACGTAATTAACACTTGTCAAACATGTATTCAACCAATTTATGAGGAAGCCAGGAGATGGCAAAGCTGTCTTGAAGGAGGATATTGCTTCTTAGGGTACTCTGATTAAAGTCTGCTGATCATTAAAACCTCAGCCTCTGGTGTTATTTTTTTCTACTATTGGATATCATTCGTATCTCCACCAGACTGCAGTGATTTGGAGTGTATCTATCATCTCTCTATAAGCCATCATCTAACGTTAGAGTTTTTTTTGGTTTTTTGAGACAGGGTCTCACTATGTGGTTCAGACTTCCCTGGAACTCACTATGTAGCCCAGGCTAGTCTCAAACTCACAGCGATCCTCCTGCCTCAGCCTCCTAAGTGCTGGGATTACAGGCATGCACCACGACACCCAGTTAGATTCTTTCTAAAGTAAGCAGTGTTACCTCCCAGCAGAGCTGGGCGGCAGACTAACCCTGGACCTGTGGGCTGAGCACCTTTTTTTTGTGGAACTCAGATTGTTCAGTTCCTATTGTATGATGCACTGTGCCACAGTGGCAGAAGTGACACTTAGGACACACACCAGAAAGCGAAAACATTTATCCTCTACTTCGTTGGAGAAAAACATTGCCTACCCCTGCCCACGAGTGTTTGCAGTGGGCCTGTGGTTGGTCAGTGGCATTAAAAGGGCATACAGAATCTTTTAGTTTTATTTTGAAAGTTGAGGTAATTTTTCTGAATGTCCAACTGAGAAGCCTACATTCTAGAAAAGCAGCACGTCTGTATCCTCTCTTGTTATCACCTTGTGCCTGTCCCTTGTCATTGCATGCCCAAGGCAGTGTGGCTGGAAGTGACTGTCTTCATCTCCCTTGTAAGCGCCTTACTGTCATTTTCCCTCCTTATACATTGACTTGATGTGGTCAAAGCGACTTTGCAACTTGGGCCTGGAAGGGGGAGATGGCCGGTAGCGATGGGGTTTTGTCATAACAAGTTGCAGCTGTGTTCCCTAAAGCAGTGACATTTCTCGATGGCAGCATTCTTGAGACTTTGTACTGTTCCGGCTGCTCCCTCCACCTTGGCTACGTGTACAAATGCACACCCAAGCATCTAGATTACAAGAGGAACTTGTTCTGCCTCAGCGTGGAAGCCATCGAAAGGCAAGTTTTTATACATGACCGGCTGCTTCATAGCTCATTTCTTAGAAAGTTAAGTTTGCAGAAAAAATGGTCTGGAAATAACAGAACTAAACACTGGCCAACGCATTTTGTTTTTCAGATAATTATTTCTGACAAGCCACTGCTTTATATATTTTTTGTTTCAACCTGATTTGTCTGGTGTTGGAAAAGTTCAAATGCTAAGTTATGGGAGAAAACATTGTGAGAAAATTTTTTGAGTAAAAATGTGTTTACTTGTTTTTAAAAATTGTTACTTAACAAGATTATTTAAGTACTAACTGTATAACTCAATATATATATATTTTTTTTAAATAAATATTTTAATTGTTTCGGAAAAGATGGAACATGAACTTGGATTAGAAAACATGACATTAGAAGGGTTTTCTTTTGATGAATGCAAAAACAAAACAAAAACCAACCAAAGAGACAAAAACACCTTAAAATAGTTAATGATAACTTTCTGGATCTTCCTCTTCCATCAGAAGCCAGATATCTTCTTCCTAGGCACCTGCTCTAAGAACCGATTCCTCTTTTTTATCTCCCTCTGGCTGGGCCTGGACAATTCCCTTCTGTCCCCACCTCCCCTCTTCCAGTCATATTGTGTGGGTGCTAAAGACCCTGCACTCTGACCAATGAACAGAACCGTCCTTTAAGCCAGCAACCCACAGGCAGTGGCACCCAGAGCCTCACTCCCAGTCCCTGTGGCAGAAGCCACAGAGCTGGCATTGTTTCCACTGTCCCAGGAAGAAGGAGCCAAAAGCTGACCCTCAGCACAAATCAAAGCCCGATGTAGAAGAAAATAAGGGCTTCAAGGCCCAGAGTAGGCTGTAAGCTGTGGGCAAGAAAAGGGCATTTTTATAGCCATTCCATCGTGAGAAACAAGGGAAAAACTGGACCCTTTCTATTACTGTGGTTTTATAAGCCAGTCTGAGCTCCAGGGGCATCTGCAAACATAAAAGGATAGAAACAGATCATATAACTTTGTTGGCTGGAGATGAGTGATGAACAGGAAGGTAAAGCAGCTTGTGACAATCAATTTGTAGGAAGGTGATGCTGGGACCTTCAGCTCTTCACATGGCTGCCAATCCTGTAGAGGACAACACAGTAAGAACCAAGATAGCCACCCCTGACTGGTAGAGGTGGGCAGTCTTCAGGCCTTTTCCTAGGTCCCACATCAAGTGACAGATCCCATTCCAGGTGTGATACATAAGCGGGAAGACAAGTGCAAACTTAGCTGTGTAGATCAGTGCTGGCCCCAGACACAACGACTTCACAAATTCCAAATAAGACTCAAAGTTCCCAGGGAGCAGCAGTGCCGACACACCAAACAGAGAGACCCCTCCACTCAAGGCCATACCAGTTCCGCGATGGCAAATAGGCATCATCATGGGAAGAGACCAACTGTAGACAGTGATATGGGGAGATACAGGACGATTTGAACCTGTATTCTTATTCCAGAACCGCTCCATCTCTTATTTGGCTGTGGTTCCCAAAGGCACAGCATTTCTGATACAGAGCTGAGGACTAAGGTGGGATTGGAGGCAATGTCGGCCAGCATGTCTCAACAAGAGTGCCACCATCTTGGATTCTCTCAATATATATTGTTCATTTCCCCTTACCCTGTTAGCTGTTAGTTTCTTAGAATATCTTGAAAAATAAATTCAAAATTGGTTAGGAAAGCAGTTCCGTTGATGTTCTGGAAAAGTAGATACAAAATCCAACTATTGCCAATAGTAAACAGTTGTCTTTTTGAGATAAGCAAAGGGATGCCTCCACTCTAAGATTTATAAAAATTGTTAGGGAGCAGTGTGAATTAGGGGTGAAGACAAACATCAGTTAAAGAATTTCAGGTGTCAGTGGCCCTCCAGTTATTAGCCTTTTTTGTTTGTTTGTTTTTTAAAGGACACAAAATTCAATAATTCAGTAATGGGCCAGGGATGTAGCTCAGTGGCACTGTGCCTGCCTCACAAGTGCAAGGTCCTGAATTTCATCCCTGGTACCGAAAAGAAAATAAATCAGTTGACCTCAGTGTGTGTGATCCTTTCAGGATAGCTGAGAGGGCTGGGCTGTGATCACTGGAGGAGTGCTTGCCTGGCTTCTGACCACAGCAAGGAACAGGATGCTCTTTAACTCTTACATATCAGGAAAGGACGACAGTTTAAGAAGAAAAGAAAGTTCCCACGCTTTTATTATTTGAGATATTTTATCACTCCTGCACTTTCTTACATTTTTTTCTCAAAAATTTAAAACTTTTTTTTTTTTTCCGAAATAATTTATCCAGCTATTGCTCCATAACTACAGTTTTGTCACTTTGAACTAGACAGGTCAAACAAATCAGATCAAAATTTAATTATAATCTGCAAATTCTTTATAACCCTTACACAAAAGAGTAATAAAGGGAACACTGTTCTTGCTAAAAGCCCAGTAAGGAGAGATACCTGTTTTGGTTTTAATATGTGGATAGAAGACCCAGACAAACTGAATGCTTCTTTATTCTCCATGAGGTTTTTGGGACATGAAATTTTAATCCAGTGGAGTTGGCATAAAACTTTAAAAAGTGATAATACCTGTTTAAAGGAGAAAAGGTTGAAGGTTTTATACTAGAAGATCATATTGAAGCTATTTTTCTTGAGCAGTTAATTTATGAAACATTATATTTTGGGGCAAGATTTTCATGCCAAGGAATCTGGTTTTATTTTAAACGTGTATGCCCTCTGTAACTTTTTTTTTTTCAATCTGCTAAACTAGGTTTATTTTTTTAGCAGCATCTTTGTGACCCTTTTATGCAGATTACTTAGGGTAGGTAGCACTCTCACCCTTAATCCTAGTGCCCTCAGGCCTAGCCCCACCATGAATCAGTCACACACTCTACATTCAGCCACTGCTGAAAAAGCATGAGGCTCGGAGGGACATCTTAGCACAAGCCATAACATACCACTCCTGGCCCCCCAAAGACTCATGCGTATCCTTTTATGCAAAAAAAGCATTCAGTCCATCTCCAAGCATTGCCAAAGTCCTAACAACGTCAGCATTGCTGGAAAGCCCAAGTCCAAAGTCTCCTCTGAGATTTAAGGCAAATTTAGCTGCAAGCCCCTGTACCAATGAAAGGAAAGTTGAACACTTCCAGCATTCAGTGGCACAAGATAGACATTTCCATTCAAAAAGTTACAAACGGGGATATAAAGGAATGGGACCAAAGCAAGTTTCAAATCCAGCAGGGCAGACCTTAAATCCCACAGTTCCACTTCCTGCATCAGGCAATCTGTGGCAAGTTGTGAACTCCAAGGGGCTTGGGTGGCCCTGCCCCCGTGGCACTGCAGATGGTTGTCTCCCATGGCTTCTGTCTTGGGCCAGCTCTGCTCCCTCCTTGTAGCTTTCCTCAGCTGATCTACCCTCCTGGCTTCTCTAAACTTTAGGGGTCTCCACTGCACTTTCAGCTTCACACTCAGCCTCGCCCACTGCCCTCTCGGGTGCACCGCTTGACACCCCAGGCCTTCTGAAATCTGGGTGGAAGCCTTCCTGACCCCACAACTCTTCTGTTCTGCATGTGCCTAAAACCAGTGCCATGTGGATGATGCCAAGGTCTGCAGCCAGCTGGAGGAGTAATAGTAGCCAGTCTTCCCTCTCCCTTGGCTGTAGGGGTTGAGTGAGTGCTCTGAACCCAATTCCAAGGAACAAATTCTCCAGGCTGCCACCACTATTCTGGAACATGGTGCCCTGGGGCTCTCTTCTCAAAGCAAATTCTTTCACTTTTGAAATTTTGAAGATGCAAAGTCTTGCTGCTTCTTTTGATGCCCTCAGGCCATCTTTTCTATTCTGTTCCTTCCCAACAGTCAAAATCTCTGCTCTATTTTTGTAGGAAGTAACTTTACTGGACCTTCCTTTCTGATCAAACTCAAAACATTTTGTAACTTTGTTTTTTTGAGACAGTATCTTGCTATGTATTCAGGCTGGCCTTGAACTCACAGGCCGGCCTCCACCTTCTGGGGATCCTCTTACCTCAGCCTCCTGAGTGCTGGGATTACAGTGTGTACCACCACCACTCTGGGGTACCTCTGCAACTTTTACTTACAATTTTATAAATCAGTCAAATGCTGCTTGAATTTTCTTTTATTGAGACAGAGTCTTACTATATCGTTTAGGCTGGCTTCAAACTCAAGTCCTCCCCCCTTCTGACTTCATTTCTTTATTTCTTTTGCCTACAAAGGTGGAGGTATTTTTGTTTTCCTAACTAGGGAGTTACTTGCCTTCACCCCCGTGTTATTTTTCAGGAATACAACCCATGGACTTCTAAAGGGAAAAAAAGAAGCAACATACAAAGTTGCTATGTGTGATAAAAGACTCTGTTCATAGACAAAGAAATTGAGTTTTCTTCTTTGTTTGATCTGCCTGGTTGCCAGTGCACGGCCTATTTCCCCCTGTTACTAGGTAGTCTTTCTCCTGTTTAATACTTTTCCAAACCATAGTGCATCATAACCTTACAGTGCAGAGAAAAGTGTGACTTGGAGGATAACTTAGAACTTGCCCAAACTTGGGTAATCAAGAGCTTACTCCAAATTATTATTTATTAAAAGTCAAATATGAAGCCAGATGTAATGGCCTACACTGTAATCCCAGCACCCTGGAGGCTGAGGCAAGAGGATTGCCGCAAGTTTGAGGCCACACTGGGCTACACAGTGAGTTTAAGGCCAGCCTGTACTACATAGACCCTTTCTCAAAAAACAGACATACAAACATCAAATATAAAAATACATGTTTCCAAAAAGTTAGGTAAAACAAGAAAGCAGTGGCTTCCTTGAAACCAGCAGCTTCTTTTGGATCTTTAAACTTGCCTGTAGAATTTTGAACCATGGTAATGTTTTTACCACCCAGAGCAAGTTTATTTTGATAATGAATTACATATAATGAGAAATTAATGTGTTGTAATATCTGGATAAAACTTATGGAGAAGACATGATTTTATGCAGTACAGCTTCCTGTGTAGGTTGCTTTAACAAATACAGTTGTGTTCATTTGCTTGCTACTAATATATAGTGTGGTATATATAAGAGTTTTACTATTTTTAAGTGACATAAGTGTAATTTTTGTTCCCTTTCATGTTTTAACTGTGTACCGCACTATGCTTTAGTTACACTTTAGGGTCCTCTGAGAAGCAAATTGTGTCAGAAGACAAAGAGCTTTTTAATCTTGAAAGCAGAGTTGAAATGGAAAAGTCTCTGAAACAGGTAATTTTATTCTAAACATTTGATTTCTGTTATAAAGAACAATGAAGAAATGCTCCTCCACATGGCAATTCTCATGCCATCTGGTTTTGTCTGAGTACTTTCCTGGTGAATGAAAGAATAATTATTTTATTTCAGTTGTTAGTGAGTTGATTTTGGGGTGAACTAAACTATAAATTAAGCTAAAGCTTTATCAACAAAATAATGAGGACATCGCATGCCCAAATCCAATCAATATGTATTGTTAAACTGTAAAACTAGAGGCATAGCTTCACACCAAATAAATATTTGACTTGGTTTATTTCACCTTCCTTATTGCTGAATGTTAACATCTTTCCATAGCGTGATAGGCAGATGGTTAAGCATGTATACGTGGAAAACTACAGTTTGATAGAATTATGTCTTATTTAAAAAAGATTTATGCCTCTAAATGGTTTTGTTAGATTCTCAGTATCTGCTGTACATAATAGTAACATTCAAAATTGCACGAACTGTGTATTTTTAACATGTTTAACTGTATCATTTTCAATCATTTTAATATTTGTGTTTCTTTATGTTCTTTTTTAAACTCAATAGATGGAAGATGTCTTGAAGGCATTACAGACCAAGCTGTGGGAGATCGAATCGAAATTGTCCTTTACCAGCAATAGCTGAACTTGGTTCCATGGCTGCCTCTCTTACTCTCACAGGAGAAGGTGTGCAGAGTACTTCTGCAGATCTACATTATGGATTGTCCCCCACATTAGAATTTTAAAGCTAGTTTATGATACCTGCTGGAATTGGAATTTAGGAATTTTCATTTTGATAAGAAACTGGGATTTTTCTGAACTATTCTCTATGTCAAAATCATTATTCTTGACTTCCTCTACTTTTATAACTTGCTTTCACCTTTAATATGTGGAATAATATTGAATAGTGAATGGTAAGAACTTAGTTTTTTCCACCTACTTTGAAAACATGCTGCAAGCTTTTTGGAAAAACTGGTTAGTTGAATTATTTGTTAGAATTCTTTGAAAACTTGTCTGAGAACAGAATAAAATACACACACACACACACACACACACACACACACACACACGGGGTGGAGGCGTGCACACACAGGATTCCATTTTGTGCTGCTATATGTTTAAGAAAATCTGAAAGAATATTTAACACAGTCACTTATTTCTGGGGTTAGGATCCTAGGGGAATGTTTTTGTTTTTCCATAATGTAAGACTTTTGTAGTTAGCATATTTGGTGTGTGTGTGTGTGTGTGTGTGTGTGTGTGTGTTTTTGAGACAGCATCCTGCTATGTATTTCAGGCTAGCCTTGAACTCCCTATGTAGCCCAGGCTGGCCTTGAACTCATGGTGATCTTCCTGCTTCAGCCTCTCCAGGGCTGAGATTACAAGTGTGCATCACCACACCTGGCTATAATTACCACGTATATTGTGTTTATAATCAAGGAAGAAAATAAAGATGAAAATAAAGTGCTTTAAGATTGATTTTTTTAAACTGAATTGTATTTAACTGAGTTCATAAATCCTGGGACCATGAAACCCCCACATTCTGTGAGCATGGCACTATGGTAGACTTGGTCAGAAGTGTAAGTAAAGGTAACCCCAAGTCTCCAGGCTCCTTTCTGCTTCCAGGTACTATGGGGTCAATAACAGCACTCACTGTGTACGGATAACTCCCCCAGCTTCCGCTCAGATGTTCCCTAATTATGTCTGAGCAACTGGAGTTACCACAGTAAATGTCCAAGTCAGATGATTTGATCATTGCCTTAGTCATGAGTGCTTTTTGATAGAATGTCGATGCCTTTACTAATTTAAAAAAAAAAGCCTCCTAGCTATCCTCTCAGAAACCTACTAACAGGTAGAGTATGGTACCATGAAAGCCAGTGTCAACTCCCAGTGGCAGATGACAGGGCCTTGCCCCGGTAAGCTTGATCAGGTCCCTGTTGTCTGTCCATTTAGGTGCTTTGGTGACACCTCTTGTGTAAGTCCATTCAGAACAAGTAGGAGAGTATGTTGGCCACAGGATTCAGTTGACGTTCTGGTTGGTCACACTGGTTACAGAACACTCCAGCAATCATTTTTTGGGAGCACGCCAAAGACATAGGGAGGCTGACTGCCTCACTCCTCATACACTGTTAGTGCTGGGGCAGGAGCTGCTGCTCAGTACCTGTAGTCGGTGCACACATCCTGAAAGCTCATTTTACCAATGAACAGTAATTGCTGATCTCCATGATACTAGCTTGTTAAGCACTGTAGGTCAAGAGCTAAGGTGCTGTAGTGGCTTCCACTCCCGTGGGCTGTGGCCAGCAGAATCAACTTTAGAGACCTTATAATATATTTTTTTCTTGAGAGTCATTTGTCAAATGCTCAGGAATATGCATTGGCGGTTTAACCACTGGCCATAGTGGGGATATTTACACCAGAGAAATCAGCAAGGATAAAACGTCAGAGCTTCCTCTGACCCTTGGGCCTGGTTTTCTAGCACATTACTGTATATTTTCAATCTCCCTCCAGCCTGCCTGACTTAAAGCTTAAAAGCAGAGAAAAAAATACAACTTTTTTTCGCATCCCCAAAGACTGGCTCCTAACAGTTTATTGAGTACTGTAAATCTAACATGAAACACTACGTTTTAAGATTGGGGATTACAGTCTCATTCTTTACTGCCTGTGAAGAAAAAGAAAAATACCTGAAAGTGAAAGACCTAGAATTTTATATAAACAGTCGGTGTCGTATACACATCTTTTTCATTCTTCCTGAATAAGACAAATAACTGGGCAGGTGCTTGCCTGTGAATAAACAGAAAGGTACATTTGCTATCACTTGGTCTTTTTTTAAAAAATGACATCTGCTTGGTTTTTTAGCAGTAAAATGCATCAAGGGAAGCTGATCAGCTAACGTAGTGTTAGCATCTTCATTTCTAGAAGGACTTAGACGGCACAAGTGCCTTCCCATGTTCTCCCCCAGCCCCATAAGATGAAGTTTATGGAGCCCTTTCAGTGGGTTCCACCACGGCCTGCACCTTGAGATTCTGCCACTGCGTCCCTGCAGCCTCTCCCTCTGCCCAGAGGTGCTGCCTCTGACTCAAGCTGTCCCTCCTCATGTGTCTTGGCTCTCCTGCGTGCCATTTCCTTGGAGTCCTTTATTGCATCTTGTTGCAGTTATTGTTGGGTGTTGTGTTTTCCATCTGTTTGCCCGTTTTGTCTTCTCTCCATTGGAGGTCAGTTGTTTAAGAGTAGGGATTTTATGTTCCAGCCTGTGCCAAAAGGAAGGCTGACAATCAGGAAGAGCTCGTTTAGCTCCAGCACTGTACGAGGCTGAGGCAAGAGGATCGCATGTTTGAGCCCAGCCCGGGCAACTTAGCGAGACTCTGTCTCAAAATAAAAGAAAGAAAGCTCATTTATGGTTGGGTGGGATGGACGAATATTGCTGCATCACAAACCTCTTCTCACATCCAGAGCCTTTATCTGCCCTGGGTTCTTTGTCTTGACCTTTAGGCGTGCTCAAGTCTCTTCTTGGTGACAAAAATCTGCCATAGCCCAGTGACCTTGCTAAATTGTCCTCAGATTCATAACCACACCAAGCCTGACTGTTGCTCACGTACTCTGGGAATTTTATACTCTCTTGAGGACACCTATGAGTTCCTACAATGTGTTGCTGTCTGAGTTCCCTAGAAACTTGCGAAAATTTAAAACAGCCCTCTTTAAAACTTTTTTTTTTTTTTTTTTTTTTTTTTGTGGTATCAGGGATCCAACTTGGGTCCTTGCACTTATGAGGCAGGCGGCAGAACCACTGAGCTAAATCCCTGGCCCTCAAGCCTTTTGGGTTGTCTGTGTTTCTTAGCAGAGTGTGGTGAAGCACGCGGGGCAGAATGCGTCACCCTAGGGCTGCTCTGGGGCAGTTGCGCTGTCATTCTTGGGCATTAGTAGCATGGCCTGCCTCTCCTATGGCGGCCCAGCCCTTTCTCCTGCTGCCCCTGTGTTCTGCCCTTGACCTGGATTCTGTCTCTGCAGTCTTGTTTACTCTTTCCCTGCCACAATTTCAGTGATCACCCCTGTGTCTAGAATCCTTACAACCCTAAACTTTTACTGTGTCCCAATCTGAATTTCCCACAATCCAGACACGCCTGTCCCCTGTGTGCTCCACGCACGTGCCACATGCTTGCTCTTATCAAAACCTATCATTCCCTCTCCGAACCCCACGCAGCCCTGTCCCCTTCCTGTGTTTCTTGTGCTCTCAAGGACTTTGCCCTTCTGCCTTAGACCGGAAGCCATAGGTTCACATCAACTCTTGACGGTGCCTCCTCACCCTCCTGGGGTTCATTATCCCTCCCAGATCCTCACCTGACTGCTTTCATCCCCTACTCCCCAGTCCAGTGGACACCCCATTGTTCAATCAGTCTTTCCACACCTGTATCCCCTGCTGCACACGAGCAGCTCCCAGTCTGAGGCTCCGAACCCTTGAGCCGGCCCCACATGGCTTCGTGGCTCTAACGCTTATCCCATCTGACACTTTTTTGCCAGTCAGACACAGTTGTGATCTCACACCTGCCCCTCTGTTATCCATTCTTCTTTGTTGTCCCAGGTCCCACATGAGTGCCACTTCCTCCAGGGTGTCTCTTGGGAATTACTCTCTTCCCTCCTCATCATTCCTAAATTAGTTCTGGATATTCTTTTTGCTTTATTAGTTTGATTTTGTATTCTAGTCTGTAGGAACTTTTTCTTTAAGACTAGGAAGTTTTTCTCCCAGAGATCCCACATACTGTAGGACTTGTATGCTGGATAGAAGCGATTAATAAGGGTTTAATTTTTTTTTTAGTTTTTTGAGACAGGGTCTAGCTATATAGTTCAGGTTGTCTTTGAACTATGTAACCCAGGCTGGTCTCAAACTCGTGGTGATCCTCCTGCCTCAGCCTCCCAAGGGCTGTGATTACAGGCGTGTTCTACCACACCCAGTAGTTTTTAAATGAAGAGAACAATTTTTATCCCTGTGTATTTTGTAGTAGACCAGTTACGATGGTAAGTAAAACAGTCTGAAAAAACAACTCAGGGGCCAGGGATTTAGCTCAGTGGTTACAGCACCTGCCTTGCAAGCGTAAGGTCCAATTTCCGGTACCAAAAAAAAAACAAAACCAGCTCTTAAAGTTGAGAAAATGGGTTATATCAAAATGTTCTAACAATATTTTAGAATTGACATGTAAGAATAAGAAGAAACTACCCCCAGGGTTGGGGCTTTAGCTCAGTGGTGCCTTGCCAGCCTCACAAGTGCAAGATCCTGAATTTGATCCCCTGTACAAAAAACAAAGACAAAAAAAAACAACAAAAAAAATCCCAAATGCAGTGGTGGTATGGGGCTAGCATAAAATGTTACGTATGTAAATAGGAAACCGAGAGAGAATTACCAAATTGAACTCATTTGCATGTGCAATTACCCACCTGTGATCATTCTACTGTTGTGTCTCTTCCACTTTTCTCCCACACCAAGTTAAAAATACTCTGCGTTAAAATTTATTTTCTTACCTAATACAATGACTTCTTGGGATTGAGGGTGTACACACATCTCCGCTTGAAACAAGACACTGGAATCACAGTGGGCCTCAGCCTGTGCCATGACTAAGTGTGAGCAAAAAGCTCAGCGGATCAAACACGAGGTTTGGAAGGCAGTGACCGCTGTGTCTGCCTCATCCCTCGGAGAACACCAAGCCAGGGAGGTAGACCACAGCTTTCTTCCTGTCGTTTTTTTTGGACACCGGGTCTCACTATGTAGATCCAGCTGCCCTTGAACCCAGACTGCCTCCAAGTTATGGTAGTCTCGTCTCCGGTGGGCACCCCCACACCTGGCCCCGCACCATGGCTTTTCTCGGTGTGAATTCATAAGAGACAACTGTCAGACGCCCACCCAAAACAGCTGTCCCTCTGAGAGGACTGTCCAGGTGGCGGGAAAGGCATCAGAGGGGGCCTCACCCAGAGGGGCACTCTTTCTTGGGGGACAGACGATCTTTCTTGGGGGAGGGTGTGTGTGTGCATTAGTCTTCGTTTCACTGCTGCGATAAAATACCTGAAATGCTCAAAGGAGCAAAGGTGGTTTTTTTGGCTTACAACGTCAGAGGTTTCAGTCCATGGTCAGCTGGTTCCAAGGGAGAAATGGGCTGGTGGAGGAGAGCTGCTCACCTCGTGGTGGTCAGGAAGCAGAGGGAGAAGAAAAGGACCCAAGAAAAGATGTACCCTTCAAAGTCACACCCCAAGGGACCTACTATTTCCTCCAATGAGGTCCTGACTCC